TACATGTTGATGTATAGCCACTAAAAAAAACAAGCGATTGACTAAATAAGTTCATTTGTTACTGTGTATTTCAGTCCCTCTCTCGGTCAAGATCTGACAAGTCCTCCATAGGAGGCACATCAGCACGGAGACTTCGAAAATCTCGAGATGAGTTAACGAACCAATAAGACCATCATATCTGAGACTGTATCTTGAAAACAAACGTAAACGGGGGTTCCGAATTGATAATAATGAAGGTTTTATTTGTTTTATACACCTTTTTGTCTCACAGCGCATTGGCATCTGCACCCAAATGGGTTTACTATCGGGGGAACATTTGTATTGCGTGTGAGGTTGTCTTATTAAGAACGAAATTGCCGTATGGAGGTCATAAAGAAATGAAGCCAGATTTAGAAAGCTGACATCTGCCTGGCTCAATAAACTACCCAATCAAAAACCGCACAGGGTTCACTTGGAATGGCATCATCGGGATTTGTAAGAGCTTGACTGAGAGAGGTACGGAATCGGAGTGAAAGATCTCATTTGGTGGAAAGGGTTAACATCTCCAGGAATATCATTACTGTTAGAATTAAGCTGCCCAGGCTATGCCTCACATGTCACTCAGAACAAACACGTGCATGTGTTTTGTTGTGACATATTGAATGCCAAACAATTGGGCACCTCTCTCAGATAAGTTTGTGTTTATAAACAACGCCGACCGATTGGTAGGATCAAGTGCGTTGGTGAAAGTGCACACATGCAAGTTTTCCCCTAAACCATGTATCTATAATTAGTTCCGTGACACAATACATTGGAAAGTTTGCCGCTGATTGCTGGACTTTAATGAGGTCATGGCAACATAACAGTGTCCTGGCTGACATGAGTCTGAAAACGAGGCTTGTAATAATTATGCTCATCGGGAGACAGTCTGACAAGACAAACTCCTAAGTCCTGCAAAACAGACCAGTGTATCCCTTAAGACTTTTCAATCTTTTAAGATATATAAGAAAAAGTCGTTGGAGTGAGTGCGTGAGTTAGGTTTAACGTTTAACCGTATCTCAGTTATATCACGGTGTGTCAGCTTAATGCGGGAGGAAAGCCCGAAGTGATGAAGGAACCCACGACCATAGGTTTCTGGCGTACCCAAGAGGCGCAACTCTGCACAGCTAATTGTGGCACCTTAGACGACTGGCTTGAGTCCCTCATTATGCTATGCATCTTCCGGAGGCAAGGGAGTCAGCTGACTGTGAAAGTACAGTTTCCAACCTTGCCAAAGTAAGTTGGCATCACTGGGCTCGATCGTAGCGCCACTTGTGTCCTATTGACCAATCGGATTCCACCTTTCATATCACTTGCTTTTGCTTCAAACAAAATGGCGGTGCCTAGTCAAGACGATCTCATCAATAAACAAAATCTATATTGTGATGAAACGGTTCTTAACCCGCGAAGTGCATCAAATCATGTGAGCACCTTGTTTATAAACATGAAAAGATTTGGTAATTATCTGTTGACGCCGAGTTGGCGGTACACATGCTTTGCAAATCCTGCGATCGGCCAAAATCTGCACGGCAGTTTATGAGCCGGATGTCGATTTGGTTTCGCGAATTTGATTGGACTATGCTGTGACTCGTTAGTCCAGCCAAAATATTACTCCATAATTCCAGCCTAGTTCAGCAAGGGAGGAAACTGGATTTTTTATGGTCAGTTAACGTTCTTGCTTCCGGAAGGTGTTCATTGCGTTTTTTGATGCTGAGAAAGTATTGATGGAAATCAAATATACCTCAAGATAACAAAGTATCTCATATCATATTGCCATGCTATTGTTTCCTTCTTTAATGTGTAATGTATATTTTATGTTACAAAATGGATACAGACTAAAAGATAAGTATACGCAAAAAAAGGCACTTTTATCTAACGTAATCGACAAAAACAATAATTGCTTTCAAATATATGCGTCATTTCAAAACAGAAGAATACTTATACTATTGGCTATAAGAATGACACATGTTCCCAGTGAAAATACAATCAGTAAAATGTGTCACACGAACGAAACACCTAAAGGGGAGTATTATTACCTTTTTAAAGTCCCTTTTATGACACTTTTACTACTAAACATGTATTTATCACAAATATATTATTATATTATGAATTTGTAAGGCGCAAATTCCAACTGCTCAACAACGTGCTGATGTAGTACTAAAAGCGCTATTGACAAGTTTATTGCTTAGCATGACCGCATCAGCTCACGTGCATTACCCATCCCACCCAGAAGGTTAAGTCATATATTGGGTTTTATGTTTTCAATTTACGATGTCGTGACAGTTTTTAGATTTTCTTTCCGCTAGTTTCAAAGCTCGAGAGAACTGACATTGACGTCATACCATAGAAGTATTTATAAAGTGACAAATACGTTTCCATAATCAACGCGCTAATAACATTGTTGTAATGTGAGCACAAGGCGTGAAAGAAGGGCGTGAGGTTCCCCACTACGCTTTAGAGCGTATCCACTGTAGGCCGAGAAGCGGGGAGGGGTGCTATATTCACTATTCTTGGGTGACTGCCCTATGACTATGACTGTAGAGATAAGGAGGTAAGCAGGGGATCGGAGGGGGGGGGGGGGGGGGAGAGATGGGAAAGATCGGTTGAAGGAATACATATTGTAATCGGGATTTGACATTATCGGAAGATATTCTTAAAAGCTTCTTTCGGAGCATCCCATGTGACACCGGTCATAAGATTATACCCCGTTCACATGCAGCTCTATACAAATGTGTGTATATTTCATACGTGTGTAAATATACACACGTGAGAATATCTGTCATGTGAACACGTTTAGTTATGTGTGTATACTTACACCAGGAGGAAATTTGCACCATATCTGGAGCAAGTGCAAAAGTCGGGCTCGCTGACTTGGTTCATGCATGTCATCGATCTCAATTGCGTGGATCGATGCTCAGGATATCAATCACTGGATTGTCTGGTCCAGACTCGATTATTTACAGACCGCCGTCATATAGCTGGAATATTGCTGAGTGCGGCGTTAAACAACCAACAGTATATTCAGTATAGAGCAGTACAAACTTAATGCGGACATCAAGTGATGGGCGTACAGTGTTTGTGTACGGACTAAATCAAGAACGTGTTGGTTCATGATAGTTTTGTATGGTAACTGTCTTCTCATTCGACTGTCAACCATTACATGTTGATATTCGTGAACAGACTGATGAATAGCTGTGTCTTACACTATTTGCATTGTATTTTTACACACCTTAGTATGTTTCCACGTAAACGCATAGTACGTCCAATGGAAGCAATCAGATCCCGAATTATAGCCTGAGGAATGTTCACCCACTCTGTCTGCAGGGCTTGGACAAACTGTCGGATGTTCTGTGATTGTTGCTCCTCGAACTGGTCTTCTAGCGCTAAACGGTTCTTCACTGTCGGGGCTGATATCCTTCGCACTCCTGGTGAACATAGCCGTAGTTGTGGAGGTGGTCGTGGTGGTAAGCGACGTAGCCGTATGAATCTGTCCTGTTCTCTGTTAGTGATACGTGATCGACCGGATCTGACAAGGTCCCGTGTGTCTGATAACGATGCGGCGTGTTCTGACGCTGACGTACATCGAGTTCATCCCAGAGATGGTCGATTGAGTTGAGATCTGGAGATCTCGACGGCCAGGGCAAGGCGTTGATGTTGGCATTACGTGGGTAGTCTACCGTGACAAGAGCTGTGTGCTGTGGAGCGTTGTCCTGTTGAAACAGCTACCTCTGGCGATCGATGATTGGAAGAAGGTGAGGTTGAATAATTTGATTCATGTAGCGATTTGCTGTCAAATTTCCCTGAACCACCCCAACCAATTCAGATCTCCTAGTGTAGGATATGACCCCCCACCCCCACCCCCCACCCACCAACACACACACACACACACACACACACACACACACACACACACACACACACACACACACACACACACACACACACACACACACAGCATGACACTACCGCCACCGAAGTGTGGGACAAAACGACGACGATAATTTAGACGACGATAAACACGTTCTTTAGAAGAAATCCACACTCGTCTCAAATTCTAAGGCTGTAAGGTATGGCACCAAGGCAAGCGTCGTTGTCGACGGATCTGTTGCAAAACAGGGACGATAACTGGTCTTCTGGGTCGGATTCCAGCCTCGCGAAGATGGTTCCTGAACAGTCTGGTCCGATATCCTCCTCAAACCAGGGATGCGTCCTGCAGTCTCCGTAGCTGTGGCATTTCGATGTATTCGATGTCGAATGTAGCGATCCTGTGCAAGGGTTGTAACTCTTGGTCGGCCGGTTCTCGGATGGTCTGCAGTGGAATTAAACTGTGTGTATCGGTCCCAAAGGCGGCAAATACTGCTGTGGTGGACGTTGAAGTGGCGTGCAAAAGACGACTGCGATTCCCCTCTTTGGATACGTCCAATGGCGATGTTCCGATCGGCAGCGCTGAGTCTCGGCATTTTCGAACTTGAAAAATGTTGACAATTGAATGACAAATCATTGGCTTATGCTTGCTTTTCTATAGCCACTACCACGAGTTACGAATGCCATAGTTCGCACGGGCATTTTGCGGGCAACTGTTTTCCTCCATGACATTTTTTAACAAGTGTGAAAACAATGCAGTTTAAGACATTACAAATTGACAATGGTTGCGTTTTGACGCACCGTTTGTCGAATCTCAGGCCATCAACATTTTCCAATAACATATATCCAGTTTATAAACCGGATTTTGTGTGTGGTCAGGATCAATGAACTACATACTACCTGTGCGTTTGTTTTTTACGAGTGTATATTCAAAAATACACCAATCTAGAATTAACAATACATTCACATTGTATTTTAATTTCCTCCAGCAGCCGTTTTGGTGCGTCTGTAGGTACCTGGTAAAAAAGGGAGAATCGGTTGACCTCAGTCCCTGTTCAAGGATGATGGATATGATGAGCGGGACTCGCTGACAGTCAATGTCACACAACTTCTCCGCTACACGCACGAAGGCCGTGATGGGCGGCACGCGTATATAGGAACTGTCCTCCTCGACTCGTGCACTCTCAGCAGGAATCTGTTCAGGAATGGCGACCGAACCTGTGTGTGTCGAAGACTTTCAGAAAATCGCTGAAGCAAAACTGTCAAAGAGTGTTCGTGAATATTACAACAGCGGGGCGAATTATGAAAATACTTACAAAGATAATAGGAAGGCTTTCGGGAGGTAATGCCACTTTGTCTATTTGTATATGGTTTATAAATGTGTTGCATGTATTACCTCGCAGTTAGCAGAACACACGTTGTCTGACTATGTCTCAAGATGTATAATGACCCAGAGTCAGACCAACCAGTTATTTATAGCAGGGGCAATGTCCCCCGCCGTAGGCACATCTTGACCGCAATCAGCAAGGCCATTCAACCTGACATCCGATTCATGTGTTGGTCGGTTCATACCTATTCTGACCAGGGTTGCCTAAGTGTTCCTTAATACACATGTTGCAATCTCCTTTAAAGAAACGCATAAGTGATATTGATATATACTACTCAAAAGAAGTTAAGATGCCCATGACAGATTAACAATAGTCATTTGAAGACATCGGGTGTACGTTAACTTCAGTTGAGTGGTATACAAATATGAAAGACTTCAGCACATAAAGAATATGTAATTTGTTTTGTTGTTTTGTTGTTTAACGCCGCACTCAGCAATATCCAGGTTTATGACAGCGGTATATAAATAAGTCTGGACCAGACCTTCGCAACTAGGGTACGATGACATGCATCAACCAAGTCAGCGAGTCTGACCACCCGATCCCGTTATATAGTCCCCGCTTACGAAAAAATGGGTAGCTGATCGCGCGAGGACCAATTTTAACTCGGGTCTTCACTGGTAAAAGAATATGTGATGGTGTCAGCGGTGTTATTTGACGTGAGGCGTCAGTGGATTCAAGGTCATAGAGTATAGGTTAACAGCCTGAACGTGCAAACCGAGTGCAAGGCAACATAATGGCCCAACGCTATCGTTGTTTTCATTATGAACCAACCATCTTCCAACACGACAGTGTTCGACCACATTGATCACGCCTAACACTATCCTTCCAACAGAAGCACTATGTACAGGTACCCCGGAAGCCTTGTGCATCGCCAGCTGTGAACCCGATAGAACCTGTAGAATGAGCTGGATCGCCGGAACAGCGTCAATGTGTACTACAGTTTGAGTGAGCTCAAATTCCCTAAAGTGTGATCCGTACTTTCATTACGCCCATGGGCAGAATATACCAAGCGGTAAGGCTGATGGTGGACACAGTACACGAGTTCTCATGACCTTGTCCTTGACCATGTCCATTTACGTGCCTTGTCTTCAAATTGTCATGTTTGAACATGTCATTACGCAAATGCTCAGATGTGCAGTAAATATATGTTACTTCCGAAACAAAAATCTACCTTTTCGTTCCCTTTTTAGGGGTGTATCTCAAGATTTCCCAAAATGATTTATCCCCAAGTTGATATTATGGTTATGAAAAATACACCTTCAGTCCCAGTGGAATACACACAAAATGATCAAATGCACATATTTTCACAATGACACTTATAGATCCATCATCATATTGATATAACCACTCAATTTCAGTTTTACGGTTTACAGGTACAAGATTCGACCAAAGTATATGCGAGATGTGTCCAATCGATCAATGGCGACCACCATTCTGGGACAGAGAGTAGACTGTCCTATCGGCGTGTCCCCCGTTGCCATGTGTCGTCTGGCCCACCCAGACGGAGAGGTGGCTGTAGCTCGCGGTACGTACACTCACATCCGCAACACGTGGAGTAGGTTGAACTATTGTTAGGTGATGTTTTATACTATTGTCTGGTAATGTTTTGTACTATTGTCTGGTAATGGTTTGTACTATTGTCTGGTAATGGTTTGTACTATTGTCTGGTAATGTTTTGTACTATTGTCTGGTAATGTTTTGTACTATTGTCTGGTAATATTTTGTACTATTGTCTGGTAATGTTAGCGCAAGAGGTTCGTGTTGCGGTAGTAATTGCAGAATGCTCAAACGTTAACATATTGCTCAAGAGTGTAAACAGGATTATCGTTCAATAAACACCATATCATGTTAAATGTATTATATGTGTTCTGTTTACGAACGTGGGCGCAGGCCCAGAAATTTGCCAGAAACCTATGATTGTGGGTTCGAATCCCGGTTCGCCCCGATTACGTTTCTAGGTTTGTCAGCACCCTACCTGTGCTCGTGGGTTTCACCGAAGTGGTAAACGCCCGAGGCATGCATCACTTCGGGCTTTCCTCCCACATTAATCCGACACGCCGTGATATAACTAGAATACTGTTAAAAGCAGCATTAAAACCAACCCACTTACTAATATCTTAGTTTGAGATGGTGCTCAATCCCAACTGTGTTCTCAGTCTTCAAGTATAAGACAGAGAAACCGGCGACGCCAGCAGATTATAAATGTCCAGTCAAAGCCAAAATGTTCCTGTATGAAATGCTTCTAAAATGTCCTATATGATTTACGTGTTCAGTCTCATCCGCAGCTTGTGTTAATATTTTCCATGTCAAACGGGTTTTTGTCTGAATAAATAATAATAATGGACAGCGAGCAAACAACCATCAAAAAGAACACTTCTGATTAGGGGATCATCGAGATCTCAAAGCATAGATGATCCCTGTAAACTTGATTGCACAAGTTGCAAATAAACTGCAAGGCAAAAAAAGTAAGACTTAATTTTGACCAAATACTGCGTTACGAAGCTGATAAGAGTAGCTGAAAACAGTAGCCGAAACACTTGTCCAAACTTAAGGACTCTGTCCTATACACAACGCTGAAACCCGGATATAATACACCACCATCGAATAACAATTCTTGTTTGTTTCATTTTAAGCCACCATCAAAAGACAGTGTATACTTTTGCCCGGCATTTTAGTCGTATAGTTTTAATACCGATTTCTCCAAAGACCACTCACGCCAGTTGTCATAGCTATACAGCCAGGCTCGTGCCTTCACAAATGTGCGCACGTACACGACCCGAGGCATGTTTGCCATCCGTCACATACAGTTGTGATATAATTGAAATACTGTTCATATCGGCGTTAAACTTAACTAATATATAGCCACCAAAAACGCCTACATCATGTCGGCAGCTTGTGCCAAGCTTGGCCGCTGTTTCATGCTGTCTACAATGGCCACCGCGGGTCTGGACGAGATTGAAGAGAAGGCGGCAGATTGTCTGCGATGGTTCCAGATCCACATCCAAACAGACCGAGATCTGCAGATTCAGCTTGTACAGAACGCAGAACGTGCTGGCTTCAAGGCCCTGGCCCTGACTGTTGACTGCCAGGTATATGGACGTCGCCATGCAGAGATGAGGAGCGGCTTCATATTACCAGCTAAACACAAGTGAGTTGTATGTTAGCTCACAAGTATAATGCAACATGGCCCTGTATATTACACAAAAACGTCGGTTATTATTTGAGAAATAAACGACCAGTGGGAGTTGTTTATCGTGCAATAAAATACTACAGGGAGAATAAACCATGAAGGGGGCAGCCCCGAGTGTACGATAAAACAACGACCACGTGTCGTTTATTTCTTATATGATATGTCAACATTATGAACCGCCGTTTTAAGGATAATGATAAACTGTACAAGCTTTAAAAATATATACCCGCATTTTAATAATATGGACTCCCTCAACAGAATCCGACCTCGGCAATATCTCATATGAAGGGATAGCCTTGTGGTTATAAAATTCGTTAATCGATTCCACACATCGGTAGAATGTGTTTAGCCCATTTCTAATGTCCCTACATAGTGACTGGAATATTTCTGAAAGCGGCGTAAACAATGCTCACTCTTTCGGTTATCATAAGTGTTATCCATAGACACCGTCCATAAAATAAACGTGTATGAGGGCCAGAAGTTCCAGTGGTTGAAATCACGAGCAACGGCCCATGTTGCCTGGGTATACTGACAATCAATGACAGATTTCGGTAGTAAGAATCCCTATACTTAGAATGTTCTGTTCAGACTCGTGTGTGTAATGCCGATTTTTTCAGGCTAGGTGTGTTAGAGGGACTGAAGTCACGTACTGGGATGTCTGATGAGGAGAGGAAGGGTGGATGGAGCAACTTCCTCAACAACTTCTTCTCCTCCTCCGCAACATGGGACGACCTGCGATGGCTGAAGACCATCACCAAACTTCCAGTGATAGCTAAGGGCGTTATAACAGGTACCTTGAAACATAGATCTTGGCGGCTCTCTAAAACCAGAGTTTAAAAGATTGACTAAATATTAACAGGGATATCTATATATGAGGAATGCTAATGACGAAAATCCCCAGAATTCGGAGGACTGAACACTAAATGTTACCTGTGAAGATCCGGGATAGAATAGGTCTTCAGCCACCCATGCTTGCCGTAAATGGCGACTCTGCTTGTCGTAAGAGGCGACTAACGGGATCGGGTGGTCAGGCTCGCTGACTTGGTTGATGTTTGTCATCGTATCCTAATTACGTGGATCGATACTCATGATGTCAATCACTGGATTGTCTGGTCCAGACTTGATGTTTAACAGACCGCCGTCATATAGCTGGAATATTGCTGAGAGCCGCGTTAAACAAAGAACAAACAAACAAACCTTGCCCAGGATGCAATATACATGTTCTGGTGTTGTCAGGTGAGGGGGCCCGGGAAGCTCTGGCGGCTGGTGCTGATGCTATCGTGGTGTCCAATCACGGGGGTCGGGAGCTGGACTGCGTCCCCGCCACGGTGAGAAAGGGAGGGGAGCATAGATGTGGGGTCAGAGTTATTCAGAGTAGTCAGTAGCTAACAGTGGATTTTGTTTTCCTTATTGCCATATATGACCACACCATTGTGATGGCAAGCAGCACAGTGGATGCATGTCCTGGTCAATTCGACATTGGAGACAGTTGACTCCCTTTCTGACCTTCAAAGTCTTACGATGAGTGAGTGAGTATGTTTTTACGCCGCTTTAAGCAATATTCCAGCAATATCACGGCGGGGGCACCAGAAATGGGCTTCACACATTGTACCCATGTCGGGAAGCGAACCCGGGTCTTCGGCGTGACGAGCGAACGCTTTAACCACCAGGCTACCCGGCCGCCCCGCTCTTACGATCAAAGAAGAATAGTTCAAAGACTGTAGAAACGATTTTCTGAACATTTCCGAATTCAACAATTGACGTGTTGATGAAGATATTGATCTCAACAAGTCTGTCTAATCTCTGCTGATGCCTCGCAAATGATTGAGGTGTGAGAGTTTCTCCCCCTGTAGATTGGCGCTTTAGTCCTGCTACAATGCAATGAGACATGATATTAAACAGTACAACGTGGTACACAAAAATCCCCCCTGTAGATGGACGACCTGTTAGGATCTATTGTGCCATATCTTATCTCGCCTTGTACATTCTGCTGTATGAATATATTGTGGTATATCACATGCACCCTTCTATAACCCTGATATAGCAATGCATTGTGGTATACCATATTTCCCCTTCTAAAACCATGCAATAGGAATGCATTGTGGTACATCATATCTCCCTTTCTACAACCTGCTATAGGAATGCATTGTGGTATACCATATCTCCCCTCCTAAAACCATGCAATAGGAATGCATTCTGGTACATCATGTCTCCCTTTCAACAACTTGTTATAGCAATGGATTGTGGTATACCATATCTCCCCTTCTTAAACCATGCAATAGGAATGTATTGTGGTACATCATATCTCCCTTTCTACAACCTGCTATAGGAATGTATTGTGGTATACCATATCTCCCCTTCTAAAACCATGCAATAGGAATGCATTGTGGTACATCATGTCTCCCTTTCTACATATTTGCTATAGGAATGTATTGTGGTATATCCTATCTCTCGGTGCACAGCCCCACCATAAGAATGTATGGCAATAAAATAATTGACTGTTATTGATGATTAGTCTTTCGTCTCCCCCTGTAGATGGACGCCCTGCGGGAGGTGGTGGAGGTCGTGGGGGACAGGTGCGAGATCTACCTGGACGGGGGAGTCAGGAGTGGGCTGGACGCCCTCAAAGCCATCGCCATGGGGGCAAGGGCCGTCTTCGTGGGACGGCCGATCCTCTGGGGTCTAGCACATGCGGTAGGTGACTGCGGCAGGGGAATCTCGGTTTGGTCGTTGTGTATTCATATATGTGTATTCTTTAACGTGCCTTGGAATTATAGAAACAATAGCAGTTATAGCAATGAAGAAATAACTATCGCACAATGGCTATGACTTATTGAAGTCAACTGTGGAGTACTTTAATGAGAATGACTTGAGAGAGCCTTGACGGCGATATGTATGTTCATTTCAAATTGTCCCCCATGGAGACCCAGCTTAGAAGTTGTCTTCAGCAACCCATGCTTGTCATAAGTGACTAAAGGGATAGGGTGGTGAGGATCGCTGACTTGGTGTCCCAGTTGCCTAGACTGATTCTCCTGATGTGAATTACTGGATCCAGACTCGATCCAGGTCGCCGTCATATGTCTGGAATAGTGCGGCGTCATCAAAGATACATTTTTCTTAAATCCAGACATTCACACTTAGTGCACGTTTGTTTTTCGAATCTGGCTTAAATAAGGGGTAAGATTATGTGTTGTTCTTTTTGGTTTACTTAATGATCAAAGATTGTTTGCTTTTGTCATCGAGCTGATCATGCTGCATTGTGATAGCAAAGGCTACTTTGCAAACCTGTTTTCAAAACCTTAGGTGAGATTAAATGCGATTTAAAGTTGCGTTATTTTTACACTTATAAAGCGACGTGCATGCACTATTCTTGTTTTATACCATTAATGCCGTGCCTCAGGCAGGGAAACAAATACCATCTGTTCCACATCGCTTGGTGTGACGCGGTCGGGGATCGAACCAGCGACGATGCGCTCTTCGCGCGGATTTTTTTTTTAATGTGTGGTGGGTGGGATGAAAGGAAACTTTGAAATAAGAATAAGATGATGTTGTTGTCCCCCAGGGAGGTGAAGGAGCAGAGAAGGTGCTGCAGATCTTGGGCGATGAACTCAACACGGGCATGGCTCTAGCAGGTCAGTCGATGGTCAGTCTCAGCTGTTTTGTCCAGCTGCAGGACCGTTATTCACATAATGTCCATGGATATCCTGATTGGACGAACTTATAGTAGAATATGCACATAATTACTGAAATATTAGTAAGTTCACTTGTGGTAGACCCATGAAGATCCTGGTTAGAATTGGTCTTCAGCAACTCGTGTTGTCGTAAGAGGCGACTAACGGATCGGTGGACAAGCACGGAATAAACTTAAACACAATTAAATTTAAGATACCACTGCCTTCTTTTTATGAATTATCACTTGGCTGTAAAGAGTGAGTGAGTTTGGTTAACTTCTCTTTGAACAGTATTGCGATTTTACCCGCCACCATTGTTCAAGGAACGTACAAAGGGACAGGTCTTAGACATTGAACATTTTGGTGAAACTCACGAACACGGCACAAGTATGGTGCTGACCAACTTAGAAACATAATTAGGGATTGGGACCCTGGCATGCGTTTCACTTAAGGAATGCAACTCCGCACAACGAATAGCGGCGCCCCTTGACTCTAAGGATCATTCTATCATTGGAAACTTTCGAAATATGATTAATTATTTTTAATGTTTGGGTGTGTATATACATGTATTTATCTGTTAATATGTCACAACATATAAAAAAACAAACCTTGTCCTTCATTTAACATTTAATCATTCAGTATTCCAACGCATTTGTTTTATTTCAGGAGCATCTAAGATAAGCGAGATCTCGCGAGACATGGTGGTTCATAAATCCTACTACAGCTCCAAGCTCTGATTGAAGACTATGGCATACCACACCTTCACGAACTGCATGTATGTTGGGTGGCCTCACCACTCTGTTGGCACACCGCGTATTGCTGATATACTAGTATCTCCCTAAAACTGTTGCAAAGTATGTTTTCTTGTCGTTTATGTGAAACAGCCATGCCAGCCCTCAAGTCACCACTACTGGTAAACACAGATGCGTTGAGAATGCACATATTCGCATGGGCGTCCTGCATGGTAGCGAAGATCCAATATGTTCACAGGGCGTTTCAGTCGCGTGTTACAGGTGAAAGCTTTTGTTTGTTTGTTGTTTAACGCCGCACTCAGCAATATTCCAGTTATATGACGGCGTTCTGTAAAATATTCGAGTCTGGACCAGATAATCAAGTGACTGATATCATGAGCATCGATCCACGCAATTGCGATGGATGGCATGCTTCAACCAAGTCAGCGAGGCTGACCATCCGATCCCGTTAGTCGCCTCTTACGACAAGTATAATCGCCTTTTACGGAAAGTATGGGTTGCTGAAGACCTATTCTACCCCGGATCTTCACGGGTCTACAGGTGAAAGGGTCACTCTCGGGTCACTCTCATAAGAGAGCCTTAACATTGTGTTATCTGAAGAAAGGAAGACACAACCTCCTATTGACAGGGTATGTCGAAGGACAAAAAACTGACCTTCACCGCCATCTCATTGAAGAAACATTCAGGAGATGTTTGAAAGAAGTAGGTCATGTGTGGCGTTAAACCCCGTCTGTCACACGGGCCTTCGTCAAACGAAAGGACGTCATGTCCATGTGAATCCAGGTTTTGTTTACAATTCGTAAATATTATGACAACATTCGGGCATTAGTTTACATTGTGGAAACATGGGTTTCTACACATCACGCGGCTACAGATGGAGGGATCAGCTGGTAGGGTCAGGCCGGGCTGTGGTACGAGGTTAATAAGCGTACATAGTAGCTCGGACAAAAGGCTTTATACCCAATGATTTTCTAATTGTTAAAGCTAAACAAAAGGGAGGTGACTACCATAATTATATGAAATTTGAACATTTCTCAAAATGGTTACAGGAACAACTAATACCAAGCATGTCCCCTCACACCACCACCCCACCCACCCCAAGCATGCCCCCTCACCCAACCCCACCCCAACCCCAAACCACTTCTTCGTTCTCTTGTTGTCATGGACAATATCCCGTGTCACAGCAAAATATTTGCGACTGCTGACAAGAAATATGATATCAAGGCAGAAAGTTATACAAATGTGGGACAACGTTTACCATAAACATCCTGAAGGCAGAACTCTTCAGGCTTGCTAAGGGGGCACGGGTGGCCCAGTCGTCTAAAGCGCCGCGATCTGCTGTGCAGAGTTGCGTCCCTTGGGCACGCCAAAACCCTATGATCGTGGGTTCGAATCCTGGTTCGCCCCGATTATGTTTCTAGGTTCGTTCGCCCCGATTATGTTTCTAGGTTCAGCACCATACCCGTACTCGTGGGTTTCACAGAAGTGGTAAATGTCCGAGACCTACATCTCTTCGGGCTTTCCTCCAACATGCCACAAAGACCCTGTCTACCGTGTTTACCTTCATCATGCGCCCCACCCCCCTGCAAGTATAATGGACCATGCCACTTCTCCAAATTCAGTTTGATCACAGCGCAGCTAACATCTTAGGTAATCTGAACTCTTCTGTGTTTACCACTAATAAGCCCCCGTTTTTATTAATTGACCAACGGATGTTGTTTTTTCAAACTACAGGCCTAGTGTCGGTGGATGCAATAATGGAATAGCACAAATATACATTTTTAATGTGTATTTGTTTGGTATGACTGGAAATCTGAAATGAAGCATTAAAAGAAAGTTCCTGCTTAATGTGTTGTTGTTTCTAAAGTAAAACCGTATGAGCCAAATGTGTTTCCGTCTGCTGAATAGTATATAAAAAGAAAACAAATTGTATTATGCGAGTTGATATATGCTTTTGTTCTTAAGGCCAGACTTTTCCAAAAACTTTATCAGTCTGACAAATAAAAATTGAAATGTGAAACAGAAAGGATAAGCAGTGAGCAAGAAAGAAGTAAAATGTTTTTTTAAAAACTTATTTACCGTCGTTTATAAGGTAAGCAAAGTATCTAAAATACTATACTCAAAACCTGTTGAAAATGTATCTTAAAAAGCTACAAAACGCAACGAAATAAATAAAGAATCGCATTGGAATGTTTCCATTGTTATATACCTACCTGAATTTTGTGGCCAAAAATCCGTGGTAGGCATTCGACAAAGCGGCATATTTCTAGCTAAGGGGTTTGTCTCTTAAAGTGTTTTGTCACTGCTCTGTGAATGTGTAAATGACACTATCGTGACAATAAACAAAACTGATATGTCACGGTTCATGTGGTGGTGGTGTCCTAATTGTGTTAGGAAGTGGTTCCAATACAGAAATATTCTACAGGAACATCGTTGTATCTTTTGGGTTAGACACTCACACTTTTCACCCTGCTTCGTTGCAGATTTATTTCTATACATGGAACACCTTTACAAACTGACGATCACAAAACCGATACAGAATTGTCTTTTGGAAATGATAAATCGTTTCAAGTTGCTACGTTTGGGCGATGCTGCACATCTATAATGACGTTGTGAAGAAAACTTGCAATACACGTGGAGCATGATATCCGTGGACATAAGGGTACTTAAAACGGTAGCAAGGCAAACGAACGTTATGTCAACAGTAAAATACCCGAAAACACGGCAAGGCTAATTGGTATAGTGCAGTGGGGGACAAGTTTCGCGCACGTTGCAAGAATCATTCACAACCCCGCGTCACAACCGCCCTTGAGGACCGCTATCACCGCACCTTGCACCTAGGTAACAGATTCCTCACTGTGACGTCATCTGCATTAACTGCACATGGGCGTGTCATCAGTCGCCGACTTGAAGATCATGACATCAGTGCCAATTGACCCTTCAGATGAATGACTTTGACGAGGCAACATCGGCTTCGGTGTTTACGTTAGGCACGCCAAGTGGGCAGTAGCGTAACTGGCAACGTGTTATTTTTTTATGAGAGCAGGTTCAAGCTGTTCAGGGCTGACGGGGGAGCACGGATATACAGTCGTGTTCTTCCTGTTGCAATTGTATTCAAGAGACTACTTTTTGGCGGTGGCTGTGTGAGGGTTTGGGATGGGATATGTGGCCGACAGAGGACAGCACTGGTTGTCATTGATGTAAATCTATATGCCATAACATTGACCTCGCGTTACATCCTCTCGTGTTTCCGTTCTTGTCCGACCTCTGCCCGACGTCGTATGCACGCCTGTATGTTTGCACGTGGAGGCCATACACGTTATTGACGTTCTGACTTTTATTTAGTGATAGTGATTGTCATGTTAACTCACAACTCGTCCTGAGTGTAATCTGTGGGATCTGTGTTGGTGACACTTGATGATCAACAATGTGTTTATCAGAATTTATATCTCACCAAATGATTATACTTTCTTAATACAACATTTGCATCAACATGTGGTTTTGTGTATTTTATTATTATTTTGAAACAACCCAGCTCGGTATATTTCTTAGATCATCGGTTAAATTTAGTTCTTTACATTTTCCTACTGAGAAGGACAAACGATTTGGGGAGAAATGCTTGATTTTGAACAGAAATTGCCCATGACATTTTCTCTGTTGTCTAGGGCGGTCAGGTAGCCTTGTGGTTAAGCGTTCACTCGTCACGCCGAACATTCCCCCCATGGGTACAACGTGTGAAGCCCATTTCTGGTGTCCCCCGACGTGATATTGCTGGAATATTGCTAAAAGCGACGTAAAACCTTACTCACTCACTCTCTGTTGTCTCATCGATTTTATTTGTTTGGATCACTAACCCCGGGGAACCTCTCTTACTTGTGAAATAGCAATAGTATTACTATCGCTGTATCACAACTAGGAGAGGTTAACAAGTGTTTCATTATATTCATTAAAATGCTTATATAAATGATTGAATTAAATAAATAAAACAATTTTTCTTAACCCTTGACATCACTGCTAACCATATTATATTCATTAAAATGCTTATATAAATGATTGAATTAAATAAATAAAACAATTTTTCTTAACCCTTGACATCACTGCTAACCATAGTACGCATCCCCATCCGCATCCAGCGAAGTATGACGTGAAACAGTTAACATGAGTTAACATTGGTCAACCAAATTTTGTTAGACTTTCGTCAGCATGGGTTCACCTGGCCCAGGCTTTTCAAATCGAACGCAAGCACTTAATTCCTCTCTCCCATGAGTCTGAAATGAACAACTAATCACAAGAACTCATCTGACGAGAGTTTGGTGTCCATGAAGATTAGCAAAGCGTTGAACAACATACAATCAAACAGACAAACATTAGGCGAGGCGAGCACTGGGCTCCCTCCGCATGCTTCAATCAAGAACAGTGCTATTTGAACCGGACTCAAAACGAGGGTACAGCTGGTCCATGGTAGCAATTAGTAGATTAGCAAAGCAATCCCTCGATTTACAATCATTTGTATCAGAAGACGTATTGCACTTATTTGTTATGGGTTTGAGAAAGTTACATTGGTTCATGGGCCTTTGGGATGAGCAATCGTTGGAAAGATGTAACCAAACTTTTAAAAAACCTTTATCTTTATCTCACATCTGTATAATGATATGCATACATACGAAATACATAAATAATAATGAAAATATGTTTACCTGCCCTAGAGTGTTAGCGCTCCTCGCATGCAGCCGCGAGGAGGCGAAGGGCAGAGTACCAATCTGGCTCTTTCCGACCTATATCCCCATATATACAGCATTTCTCGGCGGTTAAACGTTGAAGCGGGTCTGTCTGTCGAAAGGGTCGGAGACAGACCTACAGTATATCGCTATGAGGGAAGCGTTGACCCATATCCGTGTAGCTAGGTCTGCCTGTTGACTGGATCGGGAACAGGCATACAGTAAACTACGGTTATAACGAACACGCTTATAACGAACTGACGGATATAACGAACTTACTTTTTGGTCCCGACTGTTTGCTGTAGTTATGCTGTATATATGCTTATAACGAACTACGGTTATAACGAACTAAAATTAGTAGTCCCTTTGAGTTCGTTATAACCGTACTTTACTGTATATCATATATCCAGTTTCGGTGTAGCGAGATATTAGCACTTTTGGACAGTGTGAATAATTGACGTATCAGACCACAGGAGTAAGCATATTACAATTAGGGAGGGAACTCTTATAGAGAGGAATGGTTAAAAATAAACACACTCACAACATTGTGGGTTTCAATTTTAACAATATCTACATGTCTCGATGTGCAGATCAGCATGATAAAATAATATAACAACGTAGCTATAATTTTGAAAAGATTAATTATGAAATAATA